GATCATTTCCAAAGTTGAACCGTAGACGTGGTACATTCCCAGACGTTTCGCCGGCATCGTAGTCGGTATCATCAGTGATGCCGGAGAAACGTCTGGGAATGTACCACGTCTACGGTTCAACTTTGGCAATGATCATGTAGACGATGGGCCCCGGACTAGATGCGTTCCAATAAGTCTTCCTAGCAATATGATCATGTTGCGAAAACAAGGTCAAACAACTTCTATACAACAAAAGGAGACTGCGACCACACAAAAGGCCACACCATCTTGGTCTTCATACCTTTGCCGGACAAGTCTGCAAAGCCTACAGACAGAGGGACATCAGGAAAGTTTCCTTTGTAGATTTCGAACCCTGTTGGGGGTGTCAAAGTTAACCTTGACCCTGGCGAGGCAGAGGCTGCAGTCCAGCATGGATAAGAACACCTTTTTGGTGGCAAGACCAATTGGCATCATATTAGAAGTTCCACAATCTGTCCTAAGTTTTCCTCTAGTCATCAGTACTCAATTTATCAGAGCCACCAAAAACCGAATTACTTAACAAGATACACAATTTCAATACAGCGTTAGATGGAGTGATGAGTTCATCCACGATGGATTGAATGAAAGCCATACATTACTTTTCTCTTCTAAGTACTTTGAGTCATCACTGCTGGTTTTGTATACAGACGAACACATGAATGCACATAAACACACATAAATAGACATGTTTACATGCTTAAAAGATGTGGAACCAATCAAAGAGCTTAGATATAGAGTATATATACAGCAGTTAGGGATAAGCCTGTGTATTTTCCTGGTTCTTTAGCTTGAATATGGTTGTAAGGATGATCCCCTGCTCCGAGGATGTACGTCATACGGCGTTTTTACCGGAATCGCATAAGAAATAGCGTCAACAAGAATGTAAAGTCAATCGACAGCTGGCCAAGAGGAATCCGCCGTCGTCTTCTGGTGGAACCGACCTTCGAGTCTCTTCACCAAACACCTTAAAACAGAAATGAAAGGGAGCCAAATAATTGTAAACCAAAATATTCCTTGAAACCAAAGTTTGTTTTGAATAAAACCAGTTTCCTGATAGAAACGAACAAACGAATACTGACAATACTTCCATAGCCCAGTAAGTCTATCGGCAGCGACCGTTGATACAAAAGTGAATTGAAAGAGGCTTGTTCGCCGTTTAATACAACAGTACCAAAGTCATGTGAACCAGTGGCTGGCAGTTTTGCTTCTGCATCCTCGCCTCCATGACTTACATTGAATCTTAATGCAAACTCAAGCCGCTTCTCAAAATTCATAGTGTATCGGCTCGCTATTAGTCTCTGTGACGCCATAGGAAAACTCTGTATATTGTTGACGAAACAGTTCCTAGTTGCATGGCAGATTCGGGAATGAAATCTGATCTGGGTATACGATGGAATAGGGCCCGTCTTGGCAGAATTCGGGCAGTCCACTCAAATTCGTGCCACTTTGGGGTTGAACCAAAAGAGGCCGTTGACCTTGCATCGAGAGTCATGCTCTTCTGAGGAGTACCGATGAACACTTTGCCTCCTGGCCTGCATACCATGTCCCACGAATCTGGCAGAGTGTGTCGCTCGGGCGTGTTAACCTGAAACCGTCGTCAAGAAATCAGTCACCTAATGTCGATTTGGATGGCTTTATGACTGATGCTCGAGATTCTCCCACACTTGAATATAAAGAGGTCCTGTGATGTGTTTGACCTTCACCAAGCCTTACCTCTCAACAAGTTTTCCCATCCAGAATGGACTACAAACTCGCTGTAACACCCATCGGTAGTCGAGACTGTGTCGTGCTCATTGTGGCGACTCGTTGCAACATAGTCACCAATGTGGCAGTCTGTCACGAGGCGGATGTGACTTTTATGCCATTAGGGGCAGGTTCCACCATCAACCATTAAATCACCGCAAGCGATCTGGTTCGTATTCTCGACACAAGACGAGAACCTCAGTCTGCCGGCAATATGGACAACCGAAAAAGTGAAGAGTGTGAAG